GTCCAGAAACGTAGCAAGGAGATGTGCAAAATAATCCATGTGACATCAGGGGTTCAACCGTAATATTATGAAGCTACGAGAATACTTTTTGTGCGCAAAAGAAAAAAAAAACAACAACTTTATTCAACAATTCGTCCCTAACCCTTTAAGTAGATGGTACATGGAGGGTGAACAGACAAAATAAATATTTTTTTATTATCTGACAAACTTTTGGTTTCATGCCAACCTAAACTCAAATAGACACTCTTATATTGAAATACAGTCTTATATATAAATGGTTGTGGAAATAGGTCTACAAAATGTTAATTTAGTCATTTCCGGATTCACTTCCTTCACTTAACATCATGTTAATAAATTCGGTTATTCGTTGAGTCATTAACCCGGATCACTGCGAGTTGCCTCATTTTGTAGATTACATAGTAGATTATTCATCTGCTCAAGAACAAACGCAAATGAGATGCGGTTTAGTGTGACAGAAGAACCGCTCTCAGCTTTTTTGCGAAATTGTGAACTGGTTCAAGCAATTCACTGAAAAGATTAAACTGAACGATTTGTTTACAAATCTGATGTCACGTGACTAGGCCGAGAATGGCTAGGGTCATAGTTATCGACTTGTGGCGAAACGAAATCAGTAGCTAGTTTTCAATAAACTGGCAGCAGTAGCAACAGGATGTCCACGCCGAGAAAAAAAAATAAGTTGAGAAAAATTTAACTTTTATGTAAAAGTGACTCACGTCGTCTATTTCCGTTCAGCTTTTTTAATCGTGCTTGGCCAAGGCAAGTTCATCTTTAAAGTAAAGTATTTTCCGATTTATAGACTAAATCTCGGCATGTCTGTCTCTCAGTATTCACAATGCCCGAACTCAAGTGCTGCATGTAAAGACAGAGCTGGGTAGATTACTTACAAATTGTAATCCGTTACTGATTCCAAATTACATGACAAAAATTGTAGGTAGTAACGCAATCCATTACACTACACATTTCAGCTAGCCTAATATAATTGGACTACATTTAGATTACTTTTGATCTAATTTGTTTATCACATCGATTTAAATTGGATAATCTTGTACCATACTGATATAAAAATACAAAGATTAAGAAAATATATCCCATTCGTTGTAATTAGCAATTTAAAGTGCATTAAATATTACATTAAATCAAGGTTTCCCAAACTGGGGTTTGTAAAGGTACTGCAGGGGGTTTGTGAGTTTAATGAAAAGTTAATCATCAATGAAATCATAAAAATGTAAAATTAAAATAAATCATTTTAAAATAGGCGATCATGAATCAAAATAAAACACTTCCTAAAAAATTGTTTTATTTGTTTACATGCATATCATGCGGCCATTAACCAATGTCAGAAAACTGTGAACATGCAAATGTGATACTTAATTTTTTAAATATCTATTTTAAAATCTCAATGGTACTTCAAGTAAATATATTAGGTGGAAGAAGTTCAGATGACAACAATTTTTGGGAATGCCTGCATTACATGTAAACAAGAAATAATGTGAATTTGTGCATTTTAATGTGTTTGATAGACAAAAGCCTTCCAAAGACATTGCAATAGATGGTTACTGAGTGATAATTCAAACAAACATTAATGTGCTCATCAGTAGTTGATGCAATGTTGAAAAACCTGATAAGATTTTTGTAAATCCAGTGGTCAAATGCTGTGTAGCCACCTTACTAGTGACTGATCTTTGTGTGCATCTCCACAAAACTGGAAGACTTTCTTAGTGTATAGAAGTGGTAAGCTATTTTAAAAAGGAACATTTAAAAGATGAAAAAGAGGAATTAGGGAGAATCAATAAATTATGAATAATTTAGTGCTATTGTGTGAATAATATGTAATCATGTAATCAATTAAAAAAGTATCTGTAGTCTGATTATGAGTATTTTAAAGTGTAATTTAATCTAATTACAAGTAGGTACTTAAGCCAAGGCAAGTTCATCTTTAAAGTAAAGTATTTTCCGATTTATAGACTAAATCTCGGCATGTCTGTCTCTCAGTATTCACAATGCCCGAACTCAAGTGCTGCATGTAAAGACAGAGCTGGGTAGATTACTTACAAATTGTAATCCGTTACTGATTCCAAATTACATGACAAAAATTGTAGGTAGTAACGCAATCCATTACACTACACATTTCAGCTAGCCTAATATAATTGGACTACATTTAGATTACTTTTGATCTAATTTGTTTATCACATCGATTTAAATTGGATAATCTTGTACCATACTGATATAAAAATACAAAGATTAAGAAAATATATCCCATTCGTTGTAATTAGCAATTTAAAGTGCATTAAATATTACATTAAATCAAGGTTTCCCAAACTGGGGTTTGTAAAGGTACTGCAGGGGGTTTGTGAGTTTAATGAAAAGTTAATCATCAATGAAATCATAAAAATGTAAAATTAAAATAAATCATTTTAAAATAGGCGATCATGAATCAAAATAAAACACTTCCTAAAAAATTGTTTTATTTGTTTACATGCATATCATGCGGCCATTAACCAATGTCAGAAAACTGTGAACATGCAAATGTGATACTTAATTTTTTAAATATCTATTTTAAAATCTCAATGGTACTTCAAGTAAATATATTAGGTGGAAGAAGTTCAGATGACAACAATTTTTGGGAATGCCTGCATTACATGTAAACAAGAAATAATGTGAATTTGTGCATTTTAATGTGTTTGATAGACAAAAGCCTTCCAAAGACATTGCAATAGATGGTTACTGAGTGATAATTCAAACAAACATTAATGTGCTCATCAGTAGTTGATGCAATGTTGAAAAACCTGATAAGATTTTTGTAAATCCAGTGGTCAAATGCTGTGTAGCCACCTTACTAGTGACTGATCTTTGTGTGCATCTCCACAAAACTGGAAGACTTTCTTAGTGTATAGAAGTGGTAAGCTATTTTAAAAAGGAACATTTAAAAGATGAAAAAGAGGAATTAGGGAGAATCAATAAATTATGAATAATTTAGTGCTATTGTGTGAATAATATGTAATCATGTAATCAATTAAAAAAGTATCTGTAGTCTGATTATGAGTATTTTAAAGTGTAATTTAATCTAATTACAAGTAGGTACTTAATTTTTGGAATCTGATTACGTAATCCAGATTGCATGTAATCAGTTATACCCAACTCTGTGTATAGACTACATTAACCATACATGTAACGCACAATTGTAATGCACCAAAGTAGCAACTGTGCAATTAAATTAATGACCTAAAACTACTGTATGACTTCATATAGTGCCTATAGAAAAAAAACAATTCAATTCACGTTTATTTGTATAGCGCTTTTCATGATACAAATCGTTGCAAAGCAGCTTTACAGAAAATTCAAGCTTCTACATTATATTTAGTAGTAGCTTATCAGTGGTGACTATGTCAAGTTGATGTACATAGGACAGAAATGTACAGAAAAATCATGCAGTTAGTTAATGTCATGTAATCAAACAGATGGTGAACACTATTAACAACAATGATTATGTTACAATCAAACTTAAAGCAAAATTAGGTAGTTTTGTATGTTGTTTCAGAGTTGGCAATGATCTGAGGTCCTCTGAGGGGTCGGTATCATCTCTTCTCAGGTGTTCAGTCATCTCAGATCTTTGTAAGGGTTGGATGCAGACTGAATCTTGTTTAATTTACCAATCCCGTGGCAGAAACAGAAAAGCAAATAGAGAAAAATGAGTGTAGCTGCTGTTCCAACCAAGCAAAGATGATGTGTTCAACCCAAGCAAAAGAATGATAATGTGCGTTTGATCCGATATAACTGAAGTACAAGTTTACGAAATACACTTTTAAAAATAAAGGTGCTTAAAACGTTCTTCACAACGATGCCATAGAAGAACCATTTTTGGTTCCACAAAGAACCATTCAGTCAAAGGTTCTTTAAAGGACCATCTCTTTCTTACCTTTTTATAATCTGAAGAACCTTTTTTCGCCACAAAGAACCTTTTGTGAAACAGAAAGGTTTTTCAGATGCTAAAGGTTCTTTATGGAAACATTTAGACAAAAAGGTCTTCTATGGCATCGTGAAGCACTATACATTATGTGAACGCTTGGCTAAAGAGATGTGTCTTTAGTCTAGATTTAAACAGGGAGAGTGTGTCTGAACCCCGAACGTTATCAGGAAGGCTATTCCAAATGCGAAAAAAGTCTACCTCCTTTAGTGGACTTTGCTATCTATCAGAAGTCCAGAGTTTTGCGACCTTAGGGAGCGGGATGGATTGTAGTGTGATAGATTAGGTACACAGGAGCTAAACCATTAAGGTAAGTAGTAATATTTAGTAATACCTTAAAAGTAAGTAATAATATGTTGTAACTGATATGGAACTTAATAGGTAGCCAGTTTCGAGACTGTAAGATTGGGGTAATATGATCATATTTTCTTGACCTGGTAAGGACTCTAGCAGCTGCATTTTGGACTACCTGTAGCTTGTTTATTGAAGATGCATGACAACCACCTAGCAGTGCATTACAATAGTCCAGCCTAGAGGTCATGAATGCATGAACTAGCTTTTCTGCATCAGAAACAGGTAACATGTTCTGTAGCTTGGCAGTGTTTAGATGGAAGAATGTTGTTTTTTGTAAAATGGGAAATATGATTTTTAAAAGACAAGTTGCTGTCACACCCAAATTTTTGACTGTAGAGGAAGTAACAGTACATCCGTCTAGATGTACTAAAATGCAGACTGCACCGTAACTTTGTCTAAAAATTAATATTACATAAATTAATGTGATGGATTTTTTTTTTATATCAGACCAAAAACAGATTGCCTTCCTGGCTCCTCTATAGGCCACTGATTTGTGGCAAAAAAAAAGCATTTTTAATTTCGTGCCAAAGTGTTCTTTCAAAAGAGAGCAGAATGTACTGTTCGAGCAGTCGCGTTTATTCATGTCATCTCGGTTTATTTATTTAATAATTTGTGTCGTGCTGCGTCTGTGCAGAACTCTAGGCAGTGCTGTTGGGCTGTGCGGAGCGCGATCTGACGCGCGGCTGCTGCTGTTGCTGTGAACCGCAGGGATGTGAGACACGCGCCGGATACGCGAGGAGAGAAGAGACAGACAGGTCTCTTGACAACGTTATAAAAAAACAGGACGCCTCCTGCGAGTAGCAGGTACTATGCGGCCGCGCTGTGCGTGCGCTCTGAGCGCGCGACGATGTAAAAGGCAACGCGTGCGGATTCTGCGGCAGCTGTGATCGGGAATAACTGGGATAGGAAAACTCAGCGAGGCATGGAAAAGCACGCTGATCACTGAGCAAATAATCATCCAGACAATCATTCGCAGACGTGTTCGTTGTGTGCGCCCCCAGGCGCTCCGTTCTTCGACCGATTACCACAGAAGAGACACACAGAGCATTTGAATGCGAACGGGTGCGTGCGGTGCAAGTGATTCCGTAGTTTCTGCCCTGCTCCGTTCAACGCTGCTGAGAAGACCTTACAACCAGGTAAGCCGTCAATATACAAGTTTATCATGCCGCCAGACGTTTTAGGAGCAAAGTGAATTGGAGTCAGCCTCTGCGGAGTTCATGTGTCTGCTATGTTGCACCGTTAACTTATGCGTCTGGTATTTTGATTTGCAGAGAAAATCGCAGTTCAGCATAAAACCATAAAAGCATAAAAAAATAGCTAGGGTACATATTTTAGATGCTGTAAATTGTAATACGTTCTCCATTTTACCACCCTTTTCTTTACTGTAGTTATTACAACTGTATGCATAATATTTATAGCCTACAAAAAAAAAATGTTTTAGATGGAGTATCGCAAGTCACACTGCAGGACACTGCTGTAACTGACATGTTCTGTCAACTACCCACATGTGTTACATCCATCTAGCATGTTAGATTTGTATTACTTTTGATTTACAAAGCAAATGGAATAAAAATAATTCCATAGTATTTTTTTTTTGTACTGATACATTAAATACATTCCATACAAATAATACATTTTTTAGACCTTGTCATGTCATTTTGCTGTAAATTAAGTGAAGTTTTTGGTAATACTTTACAATAAGATCCTATTAGTTAACGTTATTTAGTACTGTAGTAAGTTATTAAGATATTATCCAGCAATGAGCATTACGTTTGTTACAGTATTTATTCATCTTTGTTAATGTTAGTTATTAAAAATACAACTGTTCATTGTTTGTTCATGTCAGCTTGGGTCCATTAAATACTATTAACAGATACATCTGGTTTTAATATGTTGTAATCAACATAAACTAAGAATAAAAACTCTGCTTTAGAAGTATTTTAATTGTTAGTTCATGTTCACTATACTTAACTAATGTTAGCATATTGGCCCTTATTGCAAAGTATTGAAACTATTTTTGTAGATATAGTTCCAAAGAACTGGTATACATTTGCATATACTGTAATCACCTAACAGCCCCAGTATTGCATGTATTGCATCTATAACATTTGACATCATCATATTAAGGGGGATAATGGTGTCAGATAAACTCACAAGCTTGGTGAATCAACTGTGAATTTAAACTATTTTAAAGATGATGTTGTTTGAAAAATGTTGCTCCAAACGGTCCCCATTCTAGAGCTAGCATATTACATTATTTCATTTTAAAATATGGCATATAGGCTGGGTTACTGCTCACCAACTATCAGTTTGTTACAGTATTTATTCATCTTTGTTGAGTTATTAAAAATACAATTGTTCATTGTTTGTTCATGTCAGCTTGGGTCCATTAAATACTATTAACAGATACAGCTGGTTTTAATATGTTGTAATCAACATAAACTAAGAATAAAAACTCTGCTTTAGAAGTATTCAAATTGTTAGTTCATGTTCACTATACTTAACTAATGTTAGCATATTGGCCCTTATTGCAAAGTATTGAAACTATTTTTGTAGATATAGTTCCAAAGAACTGGTATACATTTGCATATACTGTAATCACCTAACAGCCCCAGTATTGCATGTATTGCATCTATAACATTTGACATCATCATATTAAGGGGGATAATGGTGTCAGATAAACTCACAAGCTTGGTGAATCAACTGTGAATTTAAACTATTTTAAAGATGATGTTGTTTGAAAAATGTTGCTCCAAACGGTCCCCATTCTAGAGCTAGCATATTACATTATTTCATTTTAAAATATGGCATATAGGCTGGGTTACTGCTCACCAACTATCAGCATATATCAGAGCTTAGAGATATTTCACTGTTGTTTGTATATGTAAACTTATGTTTCAAAGGAAAACTACATGTCCTTTGATCTGTGTCCTTTGAACTGTCTGAAACTCTACCCGTAACTCAAACGCACTGTTGTGGTTATGTAAATGCGTTGATTCATAATGACATAATATAAGTCTTTGTTGCTGTAACAGGATCGGTGTTTTGACAGCAGTTCTGCTTTGCATGATCTCCGGTGCTCATGTTGAAGAAATTCCTTTATCATCAGGGACTCTAAAGAAGGAGTTAGACTCTTTGTGTCTCATGACCCTAATATTGGTGTTAAATATTCTCAAGAGCCAGTTTTGCACATCAAACAGAACTTCCAAACGGAGAGAGTTCTCAACTGCAAAAGCAAGTGGGTCCTATCACATTTACAAGCGTCTGAATGTCTTGCGTGTGTCTGTAACTAATTTGAGAGCGGTTGTGTAGAGCTTGACTTGTAACAAGGTTTATAATAACTCGCTACAGTCTCTGCAAATTGGCAGCACAGTGAGTGTTTTATGATTCTCATCATTCTGTCGCTGGGATGCAGTTGCTATAGTGAGTGGCCTTCTTCATAGCCTCCAACCATCCACATATTCCCAGATTCTGTGAGAACATTGATTTATCATTTATTTTTTTCTGAAATGTAAGATGGTTCAGCCTCTCTGGCTACTTCTTCCTCCACTTCTTCCTAGTGCCCTTTAAGTGCTAAAACACATCTGTAATTTAATCAAACTCCTGCTAACATGTAATTTCAGAAATGCATTTTCTATTCAGACTATTGTTTAAAGAGATCTTTTTCATGCTTTAATGGAGCGCCAAACCAAACCAGCAAAGATGAAACGCAGAGAAGTAATGAAGCCGACATGAACCTTCAAACAGCTGGGGGCGATTTTAGTTTGCATAAGAGGACAAACTCGTCAGTGCCTTACATGAGCATGTTCCCTGTGAATTTCAATATTGTTCTGGAATATTAGAATTTCCATAATAGATTAGTAGATTACAATTTAGTATATTATTTTTTTACATAACTGACTAGCTGCAAGGCTGTGTTGGGTTAATCTGTTATGTTCGTCATAGATTCAGTGCTCCGGGCTGTTATTTTTGATTTGATCAGTGGGGTGTGAGATTAATTAGTTTGTGTATCTGGGAGGTATGAAACTCTTCTGATCAGAGGCTGTGTTCCACGTGACTTGTTATCGGACACAAAGCGCCAGATTTACAGTCTTTAGGACATGTCTGATGTTTGCACATGTCATTTCAATGACTAGATTTGTTCCACGTGACTTGTTATCGGACACAAAGCGCCAGATTTACAGTCTTTAGGACATGTCTGATGTTTGCACGTCATTTCAATGACTAGATCAGTGATGTACTCAACATAGGTGCTCTATTTTCAAATGGGAACTCTTCATTTTTATCTAAGATTGCTTCCATTTAAAACCTGCATATTTACAAGAATGTAAAACAGTCATAATACTCCCCCCTCCCCCCACTCAGGATTTCAGTATTTTATATTATAATTAATCTTAAAAAGATTTGTCTGTTATCTACATTTCATACTTTTACTACATTTAGATAGACATGTAGTCTCACGTCATGTTTAAATACTTGTCAGGTTTTGTCTCAGTCACAGGTACACTCAATGAATCAAGGCCACTTAATTAATTTAATGCAGTCAATTAAAATCTAATATGTATTTAGAATTCAGACTTTGAACACTAATCAGTCTTCTGAGCCTCTTCATTTGTGGGTTACACTTGGTACCTTCATGGTCAAAAGTGACCAAAGCCTTGAAATGTAACACCTTTTTCCTCAGGAAAATCAATCTAGTATATTTTTGTTC